CCCGCCACGACTGTGATCTGCTGAGGGAGCAGTTTGAGGAGGAGCAGGAGGCAAAGGTTGAGCTGCAGCGTGGAATGTCCAAGGCCAACAGTGAGGTGGCTCAGTGGAGAACTAAGTATGAAACTGATGCTATCCAGCGCACTGAGGAGCTTGAGGAATCCAAGTGAGTACATTTTAAACATTTACAACCCCAGAAGTGTAGCATTACAGCGTAGCTCAACTGACAAAGGTATTTCTGGTATCAATACAAACAAATGTATCCAAATATGACAGTTTGACATTTGCTTATGTTGTGTTAACATTATTTGGGTCCAAACTGTTTAGATTGCAGAACTGCTTCCATATGTTCATCTAGTTTCTTAAACATATGGAATTATTTATTTTTCATACATGCAAAATTGTTTGTAAGTATTTGTAACTTAGGGTTTTCATGGACAAATCACACTTTTTCAAACAGGAAAAAGCTGGCCCAGCGCCTTCAGGAGGCTGAGGAACAGATTGAGGCAGTGAATTCCAAATGTGCTTCTCTTGAGAAAACCAAGCAGAGGCTCCAGAGTGAGGTTGAGGACCTCATGATTGATGTGGAGAGAGCCAATGGGCTGGCTGCCAACTTGGACAAAAAGCAGAGGAACTTTGACAAGGTAGCAACCTTTACTTTATGTGGCCAAGCCTTACAAACAATGAAACATGTATTTGTCTTTATATTGCTGCATAATAACTGAACAGTATTAATTGTGTAATTTAGGTTTTGGCAGAGTGGAAACAGAAGTTTGAGGAGGGTCAGGCAGAGCTTGAGGGAGCTCAGAAGGAGGCTCGTTCTCTCAGCACTGAGCTCTTCAAAATGAAGAACTCTTATGAGGAAGCTCTGGATCACCTGGAGACCATGAAGCGTGAAAACAAGAACCTCCAACGTGAGTTCTGACCACATTATTATTACTACATTAAGTAAGAATAAAGTATTTATATTTCCATTTCAAGGCATAACGATATAAAACATGCATCTCTCTGCAGAGGAGATCTCAGATCTGACTGAACAGATTGGTGAGACTGGCAAGAGCATCCATGAGCTGGAGAAGTCCAAGAAGCAGGTGGAGACAGAGAAGTCTGAGATCCAGACAGCTCTTGAAGAAGCTGAGGTACATTTATTCTGCGGTCTTCTGAAAATACACGGACAAATGTTTTAGAAATGGTTAAAAGGCAGAGATGAATACTCTTTTCTTTGACATCATTAGGGAACTTTGGAACATGAAGAGTCTAAGATTCTGCGTGTCCAGCTGGAGCTCAACCAGATTAAGGGTGAAGTAGACAGGAAGCTGGCAGAGAAGGATGAAGAGATGGAGCAGATCAAGAGGAACAGCCAGAGGGTGGTTGACTCCATGCAGAGCACTCTGGATTCTGAGGTCAGGAGCAGGAACGATGCCCTGAGAATCAAGAAGAAGATGGAGGGAGACCTAAATGAGATGGAGATTCAGTTAAGCCATGCCAATCGTCAGGCTTCTGAGTCCCAGAAGCAGCTGAGGAATGTGCAAGCACAGCTGAAGGTATTGTAAGATGTATAGTTGTTTCATAGACTGGTCAGTGCACCTACATTTTGACTGTCATGTGATTATTTTGCTGATATTTTTTTCACCAGGATGCACAACTGCACCTTGATGATGCTCTCAGAGCCCAGGATGACTTCAAGGAACAAGCTGCTATGGTAGAGCGCAGGAACGGTCTCATGGTGGCTGAAATTGAGGAACTTAGAGCTGCTCTGGAACAGACAGAGAGAAGCCGCAAAACCGCCGAGCAGGAGCTGGTGGACGCCAGTGAGCGTGTTGGACTGCTGCACTCTCAGGTAAGCAAGCACTGTCATTTCTTCAGTCATTCAGAAGTCTAATGAGTTTTGCAAATAATGTGAAAATGAAGCATGTGATGACTTAAGTGATCTTTTTATCTTTTAGAACACAAGCCTTATGAACACCAAGAAGAAGCTTGAGGCTGACCTGATCCAGGTCCAGAGTGAAGTGGATGACACTGTTCAGGAAGCAAGGAATGCAGAGGAGAAGGCCAAGAAGGCCATCACTGATGTACGTTTGACTTTTACATTTGTACTGCAAGTAAAATGTGTTTTTCTCAAAATATTTGTAATATTATATTTCTAATATGTTGTCTCTTCTAGGCTGCCATGATGGCTGAGGAGCTGAAGAAGGAGCAGGATACTAGCTCTCACCTGGAGAGGATGAAGAAGAACCTGGAGGTTACAGTTAAGGACCTGCAGCACCGCCTGGATGAGGCTGAGAACCTGGCCATGAAGGGTGGCAAGAAGCAGCTCCAGAAACTTGAGTCTAGGGTAAGACAATTCTGTTAAAATTTGCAGGTGAACAAGTGTGAGAAAACATACAAAACAAAAAATATATAAATATTATATAAATGTTCTGGTTTTTCTAAAGGTGCGTGAGCTGGAGGCAGAGGTTGAGGCTGAGCAGAGACGTGGAGCAGATGCTGTGAAGGGTGTCCGCAAATATGAGAGGAGAGTGAAGGAGCTCACCTATCAGGTACAGTCACTTTGACATTTAACATGTAGCCTACAAATTATTCTAACACATGTATTGCTTAATACATTTAAAAATTCCAATTTACTTTATTTTCCAGACTGAAGAGGACAAGAAAAATGTTGCCAGGCTGCAGGATCTGGTTGACAAACTGCAGCTCAAAGTGAAGACCTACAAGAGGCACGCTGAGGAAGCGGTAAGCACAACACATTCATTTTAAATACTGATAGGCAATAATATGCCAGAATCATCTTGTTCTTCACAAAACACACATCTATGATATTGGTAGTTTGGCTTTTGCACTGGTAAACTGTTATATTTAAATATAATTTGAAAAAATGACAATCAGCTATAAATTACATTAACTATATCATTATGAAGCAAGCAAGCCATTAAGTGTTTGTGATTGACAGTTTGGTCATATTTATGTAGTACACCTTATAGTGAATAAAACCACTCTCATTGTATATTAAATGTCTATAACTATGTTTTTTCAGGAGGAGCAAGCCAACGTTCACCTGTCCAAGTGCAGAAAGGTCCAGAATGAACTGGAGGAGGCTGAGGAGCGTGCTGACATTGCAGAGTCCCAGGTCAACAAACTGAGAGCAAAGAGCCGTGACTCTGGCAAGGTAAATACACATCCCACTTTTATATTTGCATACATATATACATACACACACACATACACACACAGACACACACAGACACACACACACACACACACACAATAGGTATGTATTAATTGTTCTATTTTTCTACAGGGAAAAGAGGTGGCTGAGTAAAGCACTCTGGCTGATGGGCTGTTTCCAATCATAAAATATGATGTGAAATATACCACAATAAAATAGTTGTTTATCTTAATTTGCTTTCTGTGTTATTTTAATCCCATTTGGATGATTTATGATGTGAAGGCATGTCACAACACCAGAACCAAGTAAGGCGCCTTACTAATCCATTAATAAATGGAACTGAAGAACGCCCATGATTTGTTTCCTGGACCAGTCTCCATTAAAGTAGTAGAAGAGGCATTTGTCAGCAAGGCGGACATTTCTTTTTGCCATATGTCTGCAAACCACTGATTATCATAGAAAAAATAAAAATAACAGAAGGGGCTGCATCTGTGTATAATTTAATAGCAAATGATGATTCTAGTTGCAAATTGTAAAAGGAAGAGATGCCATTCCTTTTATCACACAGAGGAGACCAGAACTGGAGCTTAGATCTGCAGCCCTCATCCAAGCTCACCATATCATGAAGTTTCTCTACAGATCTGGAGAGGTGCAGAAGCCTGGATATAAAGCAGTGTCCCTTGGGAATAACATGCATATCGAAATTAAGATCCCCAAGCAATTCTCTTTTTAAAATAACTACTGCCTCTGACGCTTTTTTTATAACCTCTCTGATGCAATTACATTTTTTCGAGAGGCAGAATAGCTTGCATCAGGACGTTATCTATGGTGGTGCCTAGAAAGTCTAATGCCTTACATGGATGTTTTTTGCCATGTACCCCTACCTGCTTTCTTTAACTTGACGGCATCGTCAATTGTACTATGAAACAAGGAGACAGGTACCTGCATTGTGATCTACATTGACTTTGAATTATAAAAGCTTGACTCTTTTCCTGCTGCCTTGTCCTTTCGAGTATTTTTCCGTGCAACATTTCCCTACAGTCAATCTTGGACGCCATTCAACAGAACAAAGTTGAAATGATGGCTCATTTTGACTCAAAAATCAATATCATTCAAACTGGTCTTAACAACTTTCAGGGATCTTTATCTTCCCTTGGTGAAAAATTCTGCACAAGTGACAACGCTATGGCATGAATCAATGTTTGCCGTAAACTGACATTACTTTTTTGGGATAATCAGTTTTATTTTCTTATAATAAGCACAGGTTATGTAGCAGTCTCTACCTCTTGTTACTTGCTCTATCTAAGTTAATCTGCCACTTAGGTTTATGTTCTGTGTGTGTGGTAGGGTCAAAGGGGACCTTTAAACATGAACTTGTTTATTTGGTGTGGTTTAACTGGACTTTTATTGTGACTGGTCACTTCCCGTCACCTCTTTTCTGTGATAAGCTCTTGGACCTTGGTGCGTCCCTGCCCGCCAACGAACAAACTAGGGAGTAAAGTACGGCACAAGAGCCTACCTTTTCCTGCGATCCCTGGTTAGTGCACCACTAACGGGATTCAACAAGCATCTGCAGCTTTAAACAAAAAGTCTGCCAGCTGACTTTAACGAAGTAACGCAAAGTTAACGCCAAGACATTACCTCTGCAGAGCAATGACTGGAACGTCTTTCCTCTTGCAATCTACACCAGCGGACATCGCACAGCAGAGACATTTGGACTTCAGAACCACAACTCTTTTCAGCCTGGCTCAAAGGACCGCCAGCTGATCCACGCACCGCCAACTCTCCTTCCTCTCTCCTTTGGACTGTTGGTAACCTACTGGGCATAGACAGTTTTAGGTAACTTAAGAGTTAACGCAAAGCAAGGACTGTTTAATTACTGTTAATGTTACTGTACTGATGTGTTTTATTCAGGTTATGTTGTTGAAATGATTAACGCAGGTTACTGTAGTAACTGTAGTCTTTCAGACAGTGCTAAGGTGATGTTAGTTTGATGTTATGCTTCACACAGACACCGTCTTTGCATGCAACTAACTCCCTTTTAACGGCACCGTTAATCTAGGATCAGACACACACATATTCAGCCTAAACCTCAGCACATACACAAGAAGAGGGAACTCCAACCCTCCCGCTCCTCCATGCTTTTTGTCTCTCACCAACAAGCGTTTCATACATTGAAACATCTGGTCAGAGGACAAAGGACACACACCTTTCTTGGCGCGCAACCCCCAATGCGCGCACACACACACAAACAGACACACACCTTTTCCTGTAGCTTATTTCCTTTTAGTTAGATTGTATATAGTCTATTTTCCTCTGTTTGCTTTTATTATATCTCTTTAATAAATGCTTGGGTTCGGGTAGGCAAACTGTGACACGTCATTCACCTTGCGATAGTGCACACAGAACCGAATAGACCCATTCTTTTTAAGCACCAGAACAATAGGGCTACACCAGGCACTGTTGGACTCTTCTATTACTCCCATCTCCAGCATGGCTTTCAGTTCCTTCTGAACTACTTTTCTTGTGTGTTCAGGTAACCGATAGGGCCGTGAACGCACCGTCATGCCCGGGTGAGTCTCAAAGTGGTGCTGTATGAGATTTGTGCGTCCTGACAAGGGAGAGAACACATCACCAAAACGCTGTTGCAACGCAGCAATGCCTGCTCTCACTCACTAATTCATTAGAGTTGATTCAATTTTGCTGTTTTTTTCATTGGTGTTAAATATTAATGTAATTCAACATTTCCTGCACAGATGCTACATTTAAAGCCCTATTGTAGCTCAAAAAGCACACACTTACATTGTACGCTTTTAATGTGAAACATCTGCAGGAAATAAGTTTCATTTACAGTAACTTAGCACTGATAAAACAAAAACAACACTACAGAAATGTACTTCCTTGTATGGGGCAATCTCCAAAAGCAATGGATCCTACAATTCCCATAATGCATTTCACTAGCATCTTTATTAGACCCTCCCTGCCCTCTAAATAGTCTGTCTTTCAAAACACCCCTCAAGTTTCTAATGCAGGCTTTACATTGAAAAGTCTCAATCTTAAACCAATATAACCATCATGACATAATTTCAAACTCTGGATGCTACAGAAGATATTATAGATTTTAGTAGCATGTACCATGAGTAGTAAACTGAACTTCATGTGTAAAACTGGAAGACTGCCCCTTTAATTATTTTAGACTCGGCCATTTTTGAATACCGATTTTCATTTGAGAATCAGTAGATGTATTCAGTAGCAGGGCTCCAGACTAACTTTTTGCATTGGTTGCACTGGTGCGCCTAACTTTTTTTTTTTTTTAGGTGCACCAGCCCAAAATGTAGGTGCACCCAAATTTTTCATTGCTTCGCCTTTAACGCCATAAGGTCATCCTTTTATCGCTCTCCATAACTTTTATATAATGTGAATGATTTTTAAACAAGAATAAAGTGTAGAGAAATGCTTGTCTTTATTTGAAGCACAATTATATATAAAAAGAAAAATAAAGTGTTTAAAGTGCTTCACTGAGCTGAAATTGAACATTTCAAACTAAAACACTAAGCAAAATAAAACATTTCCAAATAAAAGAGGACCTGATTACTACTACCTGCCGCTGAAATGCAGCTGGGAGAGGGGCCACTTTCTCTACACACACTTGTCACGGCATATCGTGTATTTTTTTTAGACATGTTATGTTTTTTTAAAGTTTCGATACGAAACGTTGTTGCACGCTCACGAACGCACTTTTTCCGGCCATATTCTGACCGCACTCCTGACAGTACATGCAGTGCATTGCGTTACGTCCTTTGTTGTACCTCAGCCAGGGAAATTGTTTCAGCCAGTCCTGCCTGAAGGAATATATTTTGGCCTTTTTAATTTGGGTCTCGGAGCCGGGCTCTATCCCAGACTCGGTTGTCTCCTCCTCTGGTTCCGAGTCTGATGCTGTCGCCGAAGGACCGGGGCTCGGCAATTTTTAAACACACGCGACTTAGCGCGGTGAACAGGACCACAGCCAATCAGAGGCAAAGACCCGCCCGAGCTCTGTCTCTTATTGGTTTAGAACACGATATGATCGTACCATGAGTGTGTGAGTTCGGTCACAGAGAGATGATGCGCTTGCGAAATAAATTTATGTTTTCACCCGGGCAGCGTCAGGTGCACCAGTGCGACCTAGAAAAATTATTAGTCGCACTCTTAAAAATTTTGGTCGCACTCTGGAACCCTGCAATAGCCATAATCACTGATTTTATAATAAATATGTTGTGAGGAAATAACCAAATCAGAAAATACTTCATTTGAATAAAGGCTCCCTGAAACTCTGAAAGACATAAAACATTACATTAGTGTAATTTTAACATTGTAGCACAATCATATAGTCTCAGGCTTTGGCAATAAACCAAAAAAAAAAAAACCCTGAAAAAACAGCTATGTGTCTTCACTGATATTGTCTGTATCAACATCTTGAGCTGTGAAGATGCTTATTCTATAATAATAAGCTCCGCTAGCTTTATGCTAACATATAATAATAATGTAAAACCCCATATACAAGCTAACAAATTAGCATCGTCATAGCGACGAAAATATAAAAGAACTGTCAACTTATAGAAACAGCAGTAACAGCAACATACACCACTATACATATACAATACTCACAGGCATATGTTCTCTTTACTCTTTAAAACGATTGGCACTGCTAAAGTTCGGCTGCAGATTGGCGACTCTGTTGACATTGTTTAACTCGCTCTACTCTTGTCGTAATACTGCCACCCACAGGTGAAGACGTGCAAGTCAAAGTGGGGCAGCACACTCCCCGCTTGGTATAATGCTTTATACCACTACACACTGTCTTTAGGAAAAAGTAAGATGACCTCTGAGATAGGTCGTAAATACACCTTAGGAGTACCTTGTTTAACCACCCTCACTTCCACCTTGCGTACTCTATCATCTTGGCTAGGTACAGTCTTGACAATTAGTCCAGTAGGCCACTCAGTTCTTCTGGCCTGGGAATCTTTCAGTAGGACAACATCCCCTGTTTGCAGGTTGCGTTTGTCAGTGTGCCACTTTTTCCTCGGTTGAAGCGTTACCAAGTATTCTTGTCTCCACCTCTTCCAAAAGGCGTCGGCAAGGCCTTGAACCTTTCTCCAGTGCTTGATAGAAAGGTCATTTGCATCAAAGTCACCTTCGGGTGTGGACAGAGTTTCTTCTTTTTGTGTCAGCAACATTGATGGAGTAAGAACTGCTGGAGCTTCAGGGTCAGAAGATACTGGAACCAATGGTCTTGAGTTCATGATGGCGATGACTTCTGCCATCAAAGTAGTGAGCACCTCATGTGTCAGATAGGATGTGCTGGTTTTGAGGAGAAGAGCATCCAGAATGCGTCGAGCAATGCCTATCATCCTCTCCCACACTCCACCCATGTGAGAGGAGTGAGGAGGATTAAAGACCCAGGTACAATTGCTGTCATGGAGGTGTGTCTTCAGATCAGGATCCTCTGTGTTAAGGTTGAGTTCCTTACATGCCCCAATAAAATTTGTTCCCCGATCTGATCGGAGCATTTTAATGGGTCCTCTGATTGCTGTGAACCGTCTGAGACCATTGATAAAGCTTGCTGTAGTCATGGTTTCCAGGACCTCAATATGCACCGCCCTGGTGTTCAAACAGGTAAATATGGCTGCCCACCGCTTGCTCTCTGCGTGGCCTCCTCTTGTTCTTCGAGAGGTCACTGTCCATGGGCCAAAGACGTCCACTCCAACATGTGTGAAAGGTGGTGACAATGACAGTCTGTCTGCTGGCAACTCTGACATCTTCTGTTCCTCTAGTTTACCTCTGAGTCTTTTGCAAGTGACACATTTGTGTATAACAGTAGAAACAAGTTTCTTTCCCCCAATTAGCCATAATCCGGCTGATCTCAAGGCGCCTTCTGTAAAATGCCGTCCCTGATGTGCAACTTGATCATGATAATGTCTCACCAACAGTGTGGCTGTGTGAGTCTTTGGAATGATCAAAGGATGTTTATCATCAAAGCACATGTCTGTTGAGGACGTGCGACCACCAACTCTTAATAGTCGATCTTGGTCCAGAAATGGAGACAACTTCACAAGCGGGCTTTGTCTCGAGATTTGATCCCTTTTGATAAGATGTTCTATCTCCTTAAAGAAGACCTCTTGCTGCATTGCCCTGATGATCACAACTGTTGCTTGTGCACTTTCCTCTCCTCTACTGCCTTCACTATCAGGAACTTTCACCTCACTTCTGACTCTTTTGATTAATCTGGAAATAGCCCGCACCAGTGACTTCCACGAGGAGAACCTTTCAAACCTCTGTGCCCCAAGCACATCTGGCACTAATGTCACCTTTGTACTGATGGCTGTAACCTCAGGACGGATTTCTCGATCCTGGTCTGGATGTATCAGCTCAAAGTTGTCGATAGGGGCAGTGTTCTCTTGCTGCGGCCTTGACAGAAATGATGGCCCAGAAAACCAGTTGGTGCTCTTGAGGTCTGTAGCAGCTAATGGCCGAGTCCCGTGGTCAGCAGGGTTTTGTTCAGTGTTGATGTAATGCCACTGATGTGGGTGAGAAGATTTCCTGATTCGTGTGATTCTGTTGGAGACATAGACGTAGAATCGGCGTGATGTGTTGTTAATGTAACCTAGCACAATTCTACTATCTGTGTAGAACTTCACTGAGTGAATATCAATGTCCATTTCACCTTTGATGAAGTCTGCCATCTCAACTGCCAAAACTGCAGCACAGAGTTCGAGACGAGGAACTGTATGTGCAGGACGCGGTGTCAGTTTGGATTTTCCCATAACGAAGCCCACGTGACACTCTCCTGTCATGGAAACAGTTCTCAAGTACGCTACAGCTGCTATCGCAATGTCAGAGGCATCTGAAAACACACAAAGTTCTCTGTACTGAGTCTGTGTGACTAATGAAACAGGAACATAAGGTCTTGGGATATCAAGTTGCTCCAGCTCTTTCATGGAGTTCCTCCAGAGTTTCCATTGTTCTTGTTTTGCTGTTGGAAGTGGAGCATCCCAATCGTACTGCTCAACAGAAAGCTCTCTCATTATGTTCCTTCCTCCCACAGTAACTGGCGCCACAAACCCTAAGGGATCAAATAGACTGTTCACTGTGGAAAGAACACCTCTTTTAGTCAAAGGTTTCTCCTCTGAAGAAACACAGAAGGTGAAGCTGTCTGTCACTAGGTTCCAGCTGAGACCTAGGCTTCTTTGCAGGGATGGTGATTCTCCTCCAAAATCAAAGTCTTTAACACCTTTGGCCCAGTCTTCTGTGGGGAACGCTTGCATGACGCTGCTGCTGTTGGATGCTATCTTGTGTAGTCTGATGTTTGACTCAGCTAGCATTTCTTGAGATGACTGCAAGACCTTGATAGCATCTGTTTCAGTGGGAAACGATGCAAGTCCATCATCCATGTAAAAGTTGCGCATGACAAACTCTCTTGCCTCGGGAGTGGACTCTGTTGCCTCTGAAGCAGCTCGTCGTAGGCAGAAAATAGCAACCGCTGGCGACGGACTGTTGCCAAATACATGAACCGTCATGCGAAACTCTTTCACTGGTTTCTGCAAGTCATTGTCTTCTTACCACAAGAACCTCAAAAAATCTCGATGTTCCTCGCAGACTGAAGCAATAAAACATCTGCTGTACATCAGCAGTAACTGCGACTGGTTCTTTGCGAAAACGGAGCAGGACCCCGATAAGGGTGTTGTTCAGATCAGGACCACAAAGAAGCACGTCATTAAGAGAAAGGCCTTCATGTTTAGCACTGGAATCGAACACTACTCTTATCTGCTCTGGCTTACGTGGATGGTAAACGCCGAATAAGGGTAGGTACCAACATTCCTGGCCTTCTGTTAGCTGTGGAGCTGGCTCTGCTTGATTGGCATCGAATATCTTTTGCATGAAGTTGATGAAGTCTTTTTTCATCTGAGGTTTCTTGTCTAGATTGCGCCTCACAGATGACAGACGCTTGACAGCTTGAAGTCGGTTGTTTGGAAGACGGTTCCGTGGTGATCGAAAAGGTAAGGGGGCAACCCACGTGTTTGCTTCATCCTTGTAGGTTTGTTGATCCAGTGTTTCCAGAAAAATCCTATCTTCAATTGACAGGTCAAGGTTGTCGTCGTGTTCTGTTCTCTGAAATACTTGGCAACCAAGATCATCAGTCTCCCTTGCTAGGTTAGACACGGAGCTCTGAAGATTCAGGCTTGGAGTGTGACAGCTGAACCTCTCTTTGACCCGAATGTTATTGTTGCATGGACCCAGAAGTGAAGCTCGTCCATTGTGTAGAATGTTGGTCTTGTAGACAGTGGTTTGAAATGTCTTATGGGAGGCTCCAAGACACACCTCTCCAACAATGACCCACCCCAGGTCCAGACGTTGAGCGTATGGTTCATTGTGGAGTCCATTGCGCTGCTCTCTGACCTTGTGTACACTGAGAATGTCTCTGCCAAGGAGGATGAGGATTTCTGCTTGTGGATCAATTTCTGGGATTTTACCTGCTACTGGCTTGAGATGGGGATAGTGAACAGCAACTTCAGGAGCTGGGATTTCCGCTCTATCATCAGGTATCATGTCACACTCGATGAGAGTGGGAAGAGAGAGCCGTGCCATGCCATCCAGGGACTCGATGATGAAGTTGTTTGCTCGTCTCCCTGTCACATCCATGACTCCTGAACATGTCTTTAAGGTATATGGTTCTAAGTGACCATCAATACTGAAAAGGACAGCGTACATTTTGACTGCCCTTTCTGACTGTCCATCAGGATACACTCTCACCAGACAGATTTTAGAACATGATCTGTAGCCTGCTAAATTTCCACATATTTCAGTACACTTTGATGTCACGTCCATGGCTGTTGGCTCCTTTTGCTCCCCGCCATGATCTTCTGAAGCAGCAGAACCTTTCCACTTCAGAGAGAGTTCTGGATGAAGTGATGTGGCATGTGTTTCACTTCCGCATTCTCTGCACTTTATTGGCACATTGCAGTCTTTAGCCATGTGGTTAATGGAAGAACAGCATCTAAAACAGATATGTTTGTCTTTCAGGAGAGATTTTCTTTCTTCTAGACTTTTACTTCTGAACAGACGACACTTCCTCAGTGGATGTGGTTTACAATGCAAAGGACACTGTTTATCAGGATCCATGCTGCTCTTGTCAGTGGGAGTATCTTGACTAGCTCCCCCTGGTGATGACACATCCGTTTTCCTGACAGAGATTGGCAGCTGGTATTTCTGCTTTGGAGCTGCTGGTTTTTCTGTTCTCAGGCTGAAGGTTGTGACACAGGCAAAGCTACGGTCATTGCGAATCTTGGCTTCCTCACTTATGAAGCTGACAAAATATGTGAATGGAGGATAGGGCACACCATGGTCTTTCTTGAATCTTGAAGCAACAGTAACCCACTTCTCCTGCAGGTTGTATGGGAGTTTTGCCAGAATAGGGTTGACCCCATGTGCTGTGTCCAGATGAGACAGGCCAGGTAGATAGCCGTTCTGCTTTGCTGCTTGTAGCTCCAGAAGAAGATCTCCCAGCTCTCTCAGACGCTGGTTCTCTCGGTTTGTCACCTTGGGAAAGTCTTCAACTCTCTTTAAAAGTGCATGCTCTATGATTTCTGGTGCACCGAAACATTCCTCCAGTCACTGCCACACCATGATTAGACCCGCTCCAGGGTTGTGGACATAAGCTGCTCTGATTCTTCTTGCTTGAGCAGCTGATTGTGGTCCGAGCCATTTTGCAAGCAGGTCCAACTCTTCTTGTGGTAACAGATTCAGATCCCAAACTGCAGACTGAAAAGAGGTCTTCCACGCCCAGTAATTCTCGGGTTGATCATCAAATTTCAGCAACCCAGAACTAACCATCTCTCGTCGCATCAAATACTTTGCAAGGTCTGAGGTGTCTGTAGGATGGACATGATGAGGTCTTGGTGTAGATACGTTGTGCCCAGGATGATACAGCTGGCTGTCATTAATAGACTTTTTTACATAAGGGCCATAATTCCCACTGTCAAACTCTCGCTTGGGACTTACAGCATACTTGTGTTGTGACATGCTCACCCCAACCTTCTGTCTTTGGTCAGATGAAAGAAATGGCAAAGGTTTAAACTCCTCCTTGCTGTGCTCACTGCCCTGGTAACCGTTCGGGTCTTTGTAGTCCATAGCCGCTTCAATGTTGTCTATGGCTGGCTGTGGTGCTGATGCAGATGGAGGATCTGGATGGTAGTCATGATGAGTTTGCAGAACAGAGTTCAATCCTGCGTGTTGCTGCACATACTCTTGAGTGCGTTGGGTTGGATCAATCGGTGACATCTCGACCAGTTGCGGCTGTTGTGGGTCTCCGGCTTCCCGTGCGGATTCTTCCCAAGCTTGAGCCTCAGCTTGTGCTGCCGCCGCTGCTTTCTCTGATTTGAGCACATGCAGATCTGCTTCTAACTCAGCTTTCTTTTTAAGCTGTTCACCTTGTTTCTTCAAGATATCTGCTTCCTTGTGTGCAAAGGAAAGCTTCACTCGTGCAGCCTCAGCCTTTGCTCGTGCCCTGGCAACAGCGACAGATGATGAGGTGAATTGACTGGAGTGTAGAGAACTGGATACTTTTGACCTTGTCTCCATTGTATCTCCTTTGTTATCATCTGCAGGAGTTGTCATGATTGAGAAGTCTTCTTTGATGCTTTACACACTTGCGACTGTGGATCAATCCGTTTTTCAGCAGAGTGTGATGAGAATATGCCTTTTTACTATTCTGCCCTCCCTGAACGTAGGATGTGTTTAGTTTGGCAGATAGCGAACAGTTCTCCAATAAGAGGCAAAGTTTCCTTTCTTTAAGGGTTTATTTATGACTCCCAATTGAAGTTGACTGTAAAACTGAAATACATACAACAAAGGAAAATTAAAATATTATACTATCACATTATATGTATCTCTAAATACCAAAGGTGTTCAACACAGTTTGAAACAGCACTCGACACTGCCATTATACTAACAAATAATAAGCTCCGCTAGCTTTATGCTAACATATAATGTAAAACCCCATATACAAGCTAACAAATTAGCATCGTCATAGCGACGAAAATATAAAAGAACTGTCAACTTATAGAAACAGCAGTAACAGCAACATACACCACTATACATATACAATACTCACAGGCATATGTTCTCTTTACTCTTTAAAACGATTGGCACTGCTAAAGTTCGGCTGCAGATTGGCAACTCTGTTGACATTGTTTAACTCGCTCTACTCTTGTCGTAATACTGCCACCCACAGGTGAAGACGTGCAAGTCAAAGTGGGGCAGCACAATGCTTGTCTGTGCTCTCATTCATGAAAAGTTTGTTTTCTCCATGAATCCACAGGGACACGAGCACTACGCTCTACACAGCTCTGAATGATATCAAACATAAGATATGAATAATAGCACAATTCAGTTGAAATGAGTCTTTCACAAACAGCCCATCAGCAGTAGCAGGCTGTCTCTTTGTGTTGGAGTGTGTAACAGAGAAACGCTGCTCTCGCCTCCAGCTCCCACAGCCCTGAGGAGAGACTTTCCCTTTCTGGATGATTAGGATTAGAGCCATTCTAAGTCTGATTGAACACCGCAGAACAGCTCTTTCTGCATGCGTGTGTGTGCGGGTGTGTATTTGTGCACCACAGCTTTCGCTCTATGTGTGCATATGTAAAATCTGTGTGGCAGTGTGTACGTGAGGAGAAGATGTCATCGGTGATTGAGCGCCTACGTGAGATTATATGTGCTTGCTTAAATCAGTCAATGTGCGTAAGCAGGGAAGGTGCATGTTTGAATATATTGCATGTGTGTGTCTGCACACCTACAGTATAAAGCCTTGTTCAGAGTGCAGAAGTATGTTTGATAAAATGTCTGTTTGACAAAGATACTGTGTTTGGATTTGTGCATGTGTGTGTGTTTGTGTGTGTCCCAAAGTCATGCTTTGGGAGTTTGTATGTAAATCGTGTGTGACCGAGGATATTATATGTTTGTGCTCACGTGTGTGTATGTAAATGAGTTTGTAAGCATGAGACAAGAAGTATGTGTGTTAAGACAGCATTATGTGTGTGTGTGTGTGTGTGTGTGTTTGTGTGTGTGCGCATCAGTGACAGAGCTGCAGGTCTGTGACAAAAGGCAAAAGATTAGGAGGGAGCAGCGAGGATTTAGGAGTTCCCATTCCGCCTTAAATTTGCTCATCTCACCACTACTAGAACAGGTAAATGTTCACACTGCACTGAGAGTCTGCTCATTACAAACAAGCAAGAATCCGAGAGAGGAAATCAGTCAATAACCTCTAAGAACTGTGATATTTCTATTTTAACACGGTACGTCCTGATTTACACTCAGCAGTGAAATATTTCCACGGCTAAGAGCTGCCCAACACTGTCCAACCTTTTACTGAAACACTCGACTGCTGGCAGATGACGTGTGAGTGTTTTTCATTCACCTCAGTCATCTACAACAGAGACGCTGGATGTAGAGAGTCCTAATGCCCGTAAACTTCAAAGCACATCACTGCTGGACAAGTAAAAACTCCCCATTCTGATTTTACCTGGTCATCAAGAACTGACCAGAGCACCGACGAGAGGAATTACATTCTACTACACCGGCTATTCAGCAATGACATGGGACCTACAATACAACATGTAGAGGGCAAGGCTTTTTGATTTTATGCCCCGTACAGACATCTTCAGTTGACATGTGGCTGCAAATGACCATCGCTAAACCCCGCCCCACTCGGTTCCGGCTGCAATGCCAGTCAAGCTTTCCACTCTAGCATGTTACATATGCAATTAAGAGTTTACTGCTCTAAATTCAAATAATGTTTGAGACATTCGGTCAGTTAATTAAGAGGTAGACAGAAGCAGTATGCTGGCCTCGTGGTTGAAGCAGTTTTTCCAGCTAGCAAAACAACCAATGCCCAAAAAGACTCTTTGGCTGAGGGGGGTTGCACTGTCAGTGAAAGGGTATGGCCTTTGATAGCTTCAGTGTGTAACCCGCAGCACTGGCCACGTGATTCTCTACACAACCAAAAGTGAAACTCTACGCTAAAATCATATTTTCACTTTGTGTCACTAGGTGTATTTTATCCTGCAGAACATGGAATAAATGAATTTAGGACATACAGGGGCCATGACAAGAAGCTTCTTATTTCTAGAGGGTGAGGGACCATTTTGACAGCTGAAATAACATCTGTCAGGAGCAGATTTCATTCAGCATAAGCCGTTGGTAGTAGGTACCTTTTTGTGGGGGAGGACACGCAGCAAAAGGCCCGTAGGTCGGAGTCGAACCCACGGCATGGGGCACCAGCTCGACCAGGTGAGCTATCAGTGCGCCCCATAGGTGACTTTTTAATGTTTCTATGTGACTCACTTTAAAACAAGAAACATGGAAAGGGGGTCTTAATAGCTGAGGCCAAAGCTACAGGTTCCAGAAAAAGTTTGGTCACTAATTTGAGTGACCAAAAATAAAAGAATAAATATTTAACTGTGAATGTTTGGTCAATGCAGAGAGGATCAAATCTCTTCACTGACAAAAAACTACATTCATACATACAGACAAACCATTAATGCTCTTTTTAATGCTCTTGTACATATTTTTCTTCCTCACTTATTCATCATGGTGCGAACATTGTCATCAACAGCACAAAGCGTCACTATGGCAACAGCACTTTG